CCCGCAGTGTGTGGCACCCGGGTGTGTGCGGCCAGGTGCCGGCGCCCAGGTGAGGCCGGGGGGAGCGCGGCACCGGCGTCTCCGAGGTGACAGTCTTCTCTCGGAACTGATAAACAACCCCGTTCCGGGCTTAACATCGCAAGACCAACACCTATCGCCGCTCTTTCCCCAGCATGGCCGAGACCCAGGCGCTGCCGAAGCTTCGGGAAGACTTCCGGCTGCAGAATAAGTCTGTATTTATTCTGGGCGCCAGCGGGGAAACAGGGAGAGTGCTCTTAAAAGAAATCCTGGAACAGAACCTGTTTTCCAAAGTCACGCTCATAGGCCGGAGGAAGCTCACCTTTGAGGAGGATGCATATAAAAACGTGGTGGGTATTTCAGCTGGGACCCAAAAGTGTATCACCTGATTTGGTTTTGTAAGGTGAACGGATTTCCTACTCAGAAGCTGAATGCTGCCGGGCCAGTGGGGGAAAGCAGGGACTTGATCATAATTTGTCTGTGACTGATCCAGAAGCTGAACTCCTGGCTTGTAGCCTTCCATCTCACCACCTGGAAATGGATAAAGCAGATTGTGATGGAGTTGGAGAGACAGAGAGAAGAGCTCTGTTTTTAGTTCCTACAGGCTGGCTTTAGACATTGTGCAAGAACCATGATTCATATATGGCTTGTCATCTCTCCCCGCACACTTCACAGAATGCTTTCTGACAGCCTGAAAGTGCTTTGCAGAGTGGCTTGCCCTTCCTGACTCCCCAGGCTTGTGTCTGTGAAAGGAACATTACCTTCTACTTAAGTTCCGTGTAAATGGGCAAGCGATACCCCAGATGTTCATCTTGATGATAGTGCCCAAATATCTGAAGTCTGAGCTTCATGGAGATTCTGATCCCTAAACTGAATTATTGATGAATCGTAGCAAATTGAATAAGATAGTGTGTTCCTGAGGCACCACAACTACAGAATTTGGTCCTCTGGGTTTCAGGGGAGGAATATTCCAGATACCAAGCAGGCTTGCAAATAGTGTCCTTGACTCCCATAGCTCTGTGTTCAGATCATTTCACTTACATCTTTGGTCTGTTTAAAGCAGACATCTTTGCTGATACTTCAGGCAGTCTTTGTAGCCTATTTTCTGGGCCTTGTGAAATGCTTCTGGTAAATGCACCAGACATTGAGATCTGTGCTTTGAGAGAGCAGTTCAGGTGGCACATCTTTTGACCTAGCACTTTATGAAAACCTGCTTTTCTTCAGCGTTTTATACAGTGCCAGGAAAGTGCTTTGGGATGAGGCTGAGGATGTGGCCCGGTAGTAGTACACTTGCCCAGCATGCCTGAGGCTGAGTTCAACCTCCAGTATTAAAAAAAAAAAAAAATGGCAGCAAAGGAAGCCAAGATTTTATGTGAATTCCTGGGTGATAGAATTTCTTCAACTGTAAGTTTCACAGCAGACTTAAAAGGTTAGGTACAGGCTCTTAAATTTCAGGGTGCATTAGAATTACCATGAGTTCTTGTTCAGAGTGCAGATTCCAGTGCAGAAGTGTTGGCCTAGGACCCAGGAATATGTCTTTTTATCAAGCATTCATGGGCTGACTCTTATGCAGGTAGTTTATGGATTGGACTGAAGGTATTATCAACCACACTGTATAGCTGAGAAACACCAGAGGCATATATGATCAATAACTTGGCAACAGTTTCTTGCCTACTAAGTAGTAGGACCAAGATTTGAACCTCAGTGTTCTTTAAGATTCCAAACACCCATCTCTTGTCCCTACATTATACCTCAGTGATCTCCTTCCTGGTAAGCTACAAATACTTTTTCTTTTGGCATAAATAAATTTTAATTGAGCCTGATTTTAGAAGTCTCTGTCACCCCTCTTCCAGTTATATGTGCTGTGGACGTATTGTTGATTTCCAATTCAGCCTTAACAGTGTTTTGGTAGGAGAAGATGCATTTGTGAACTTGGCAAGCGGTTAGACCTGTCAGGGATAAGCAATAGTTTATTCTTTAGAAGGATGACCTGTGTGTTTTTTAAAATAACATGAAGTTATAAACTCCCATGCCCTTGTTTAGAATCAAGAAGTGGTGGACTTTGAAAAGCTGGATGACTACGCTTCTGCCTTCCAAGGTCATGATGTTGGATTTTGTTGCCTGGGCACCACCAAAGCGAAAGCTGGAGCGGTAAGGAAGATATGCACTCTCCCCCTTTGGTACTGGCCAGTGGTCAGGGATTCCTTTCTTCCTTACTCGTCTCCACAGTCTACTGCAGATCTGAAATGTAGGGAAGGTTTTATAGTGTAAGATTTCATCTGCCGCCCTAATTTTGATAAACTCTGAATCAAATAGCACTGATACATTCTTCTTTCCTTCAGATTGATCCCTAAGCTCAGGCCTGAGCACTGTGTACCTCATAAATATTTACACGATCTTGCCTGTGGCACATACTGCTATCTCTATAATTTCCCCTGACTAAGACAGTGACGTCCTCATGAATGTAACTGGCTCATGCTTTCCTCATTGTGTTCAGTCGTCAGTGCCTTTATCGATGTGTTAAACTTGACGCATTCTCTCTCCCTTGAGTGATTGGCTTTAAACTCTTTTCACACCACACTTTAAACTTCTGGGCCAGCTCATCTGAGTGGGGAGGCACGATTCAGCCAGGCCCCGTGGTGACTCATCATCAGCAGTGCTTCAACCCCAGGCATGATTCAGTCTCCCTGACGCAAAGCTGTTTAAACCCACACTTTATTTCTTTTTTAATGGTCCTCTACGTGAGTTACCCCTTTCCAGAAGTCATAACTGACTATATAGTTAAAAGTCATAGTTTAAAGTGTAAATCCAGGCAAATATTAATAGATCCCATTTAATTCATACCGTGATGGGAGTTATTGTTCTGGCAGAATTTCTTTGCTGGAGCTGAGCAAGTCTATTAAATATGCAGGGCCATGACTGATTCTGCCACAGGGACTGACTGAAGGTTGGTAAGTCAGTCTGATGCACCTGAATCATTAGGGCACACAGATGAAGAAGTATTGCTCTATGCCAACTGAGCAGTCAATGCAGTTGTGTTCCTCTATGCTCCTTGGTGACCTGGAGCACAATCCTATTTAGCTCTTGGTTGAGATATATTTCTCTGTCTTGCGCAGTTCTGCGTGTCCATCTGGGAGCGCTGCCTGGTTGCATTCTGTGCTGAGAACTGTGGATCACAGAGACCTTTGATTTCCCTAGGAACTGGCACATTATCCCTTCTGGAAGGGGTCATGTTCCTGCTTAACAGCCTGTTCTGTCCTGGGGAAAGTCATAATCGCTGTGCCCTCTAAAAGCACTGGAAAACTTTTGTTCTTCTATGCTGCAGGCTTCACTGTCTCAAGCGCTTGCCTGGTTCCAGTGGTGACTCAGCAGAATAAAAAACTGCATTCAGCATAGAGCAGTTTATTTTCTCGACAGAAAGGCAATATCACAGTATGCTCCCTGGGGGAGGTTCTGAAGTGCTTTGTCGCATTCACATTGTGCAGTACAGTGTTTGTTAGAACAATTCACTCTCCAGGATCTCTTTTTAAAAATAGGTTTTTGATTCCTCACTTCTTAGGCCACTCAATACCTCCTGTTCGTTCACCTTTAGGTTCTTTAAGGGAAAGTTGAAAAGATAAAGGAAATACATAAGCAGGGAGAACATTAGTAAGCCCAGTAGTCTCAGAAATGAGTTAGGACTTTAACAGCTTAAGAGGATGATGGCAAAAAGCAGAAATAAGCTAACACTCCATCTGGAAAAGACCATCTTGTTTTTCTGTCTTTTCTTTTTTCTTTCTTTTCTTTTCTTTTCTTTCTTTTTTTTTTTTTTTTTTTTTTTTTTTTTTTTTTTTTTTTTTTTTTTTTTTTTTTTTGTAGCATGGTGATTGACCCCAAGGCCTCTTGGATGCTAAGAAAGTGCTCTTAGAACTCAGCTACCTCCCCAGTCCTTTCCTTAAAAACAAACTAATTGGGATTGGGTGCAGTATAAAATTTGGAGGTTGTGATAACTTCAGACAGTTTACGAGAGGTACAACTCCTGAGTGGCCAGGGAACACTTGTTTGGAGGGGACTTGTGTATTCCAGTCTTGTCTCTGCTGGAATTCTGGGTCAGTGGTACTCTCTGTAAAAGAGTTCATCCTAGATCATCAGAGAAGCACCAAGAAGCTGGTGGTGAGCCTTATATCACACAGTCGCTGTTTTGTAACTAGAACATCCTGTATTTTACCTTGGCAAGCTGTGTTTCCAGTAGAGAAACTTGAAGAGACTCAGTTTTGTCTCAGAGCTACTCGTGATCTTTTATTGAACTCGGGTCCTTGGCTTGCAAGGCAGGCCACCCAACCGCTGAGCTAAATCCCCGGCCCTTCTCTGTGATCTTTAGCAGATCAGTTTATTAGGGCCACTGTTACAGAGTAGCACCAGGTGGCTTAAACCCATTCTAGAGGATGGAAGACTAAAATAAAAGCATCACTGGAGTTGGGTCCTTCTGAGGGCCATGTGGGAAAGCATGTCTTAAGGCTCTCGTTGGCTTTCAGGTGGCCGCCATCTTTTTCTGTCTTTTCATGACACTATCCTAGTGTGCCCATGTCTTTGTCACGCTGTCCCTTTTTTTAGGGATACCAGTGATAATGGATTAGGAACACTGTGCACATCACAGCCTCATAACTGATTGCATCAACAATGATCCCATTTCTAAATAAGATTACATTCTCAGGGACTAGGGGTTATGATTTAAATATATGCATTTTAGGGGAATACAATTCAACCACAAAAGTCAGTCTATTCAAATTTCTGTTGGAAGAGGTGCCAGTGATGAGTCTGTTAGCTTTCTTCAGTTGCTTAGAAAACTATTTCTCTTAGCAATAGCTGGTTGGATGCCGAGCTTTCTTTTATATCCACAGACCACAGTTGTCTAGCCAATGCAGTGGATCCCCAATTTGTCTGCCAGGGATTTAGCTCAGCAGCACCGCACCTGCCTTGCAAGCATAAGGTCTTGAGTTTGATCCCCAATACCACAAAAAAAAAAAAAAAAAAAAAAAAAAAAAAAGAATCTCTGAGGTTGGAAGCTTGAAGTCTATGATTTTAGCAGGCTCCCTGGGAGATCTGATACAACCAACTCTGCTCTTCTTGGGCTGGCTTTGGGCAGCACTGGGCTCTATCAGTCCTCTTTACCTGATGGTTTTCCAAGCACTGTAGTCCTAGATGGTCCTCACCTTGCTTTAGTAACTGTATACTGGAGAAGGTTGAAATAACCCTTTGAAAACCAGATCGACAGCCTCATGTGGTGGTGCATGCCTAGAATCAAAGTACAGGGGAGGCTGAGGTGGGAGGACTACTACAAGTTCAAAGTCAGACTGGGCTACATATTAAAACCCCGTCTCAAAAGGGGGGCGGGGATCAATGTTGAGTTTGAATGAAGAGCAAAATTCAAAGATATCACTGTGAATAATGCATTTTCCTTTTAAAATCTGTTATTAATACGTTTGCAGTACATAGTGTTTATAACCACATTAAAGAATACTGCATGTACTTAACATATCTTTGTAGTAGCTAAAAGATTTGGTTAGTGACTCTGGATGGTTTCATGCAATTTCACTTGTTCATTTGTCTCCTTACCTGTTAGGAGTCAGCTAACACAGCCCAGGTTCTTAGATTCTATTGAATGGATGATATGTTAATATGATTAATTGATATGTTAATATGATTAATGCATCCATTGCAACATTTATGTGGCACCCTTAGAATCATATGACTTCTGATTCTGATAATACATTAAGAAAGAAATTTGCAAACCACAATGTAGGGACCAAATACAGCCTGCCATCTGCTTAATGTATGGCCTACAAACTAAGAATGTTTTTCTATTTTAAAGTAGTTAAAGACATTCAAAAGAATAATGTCATGCTAAGTAGAAATATGAGAAATTCAAATTTGTATTCTGAGTATGGTGGTTTATGCTGATATTGTCAGCTACTCATCTAGAGGCTGAGGCAGGAGGATCACTGGAGCCTACCAGCCTCTACATCATAGCAAGACCCTCTCTCAAAAAAAAACAAAAACAAACAAACAAAAAAACACATACAAATAAAAACAGAAATTCCAGAAATTCAAAGTTTGGTGTCCATAAATAAAGGTTTACTAGGACATAACCATGTTAATTACTGCAATAGTAATTACCTGAGGTTGCTTTTGTGCTATAATGGTGGAGCTGTGTAGATTAAGAGGCCTGCAGAGCTAACAGTGTTTATTATCTGGTTCTTCCTGAAAAGGGTTAACCACTGTTCTCTGAATCTCTGTTGTTTAGAAGACACATAGGAGGGGGTTCTGAGGGGTGAGGTCCCAGGTGGTTCAGGAACCCAGATCACGGGCCCTCTTTGGAAACCAGGCAGCTGTGGAACCTCAGACATGTTGGTGAGCTCCAGTAGACTGCTTCCTCGTAGGTAATGAGCAGGAAGGGCTGCCAAACCTTTTGAGAGTGTGTATTTCTTTGACTATGAAACAGTAAAAGGTGACCAAAATGGAAACATTTGGGGAATGTAGTGATATTTTAAAATTTATTACAGTAATTAATTTATTACAGTAATTATTGATGTATTTTTGATCACCCTATTTACTTAGTAGCTTTGGATTTATAAGACTTAAAATAAGAGTGATGGGAGAATTTGTCTCCTTCAGTGTTTGTGGCACCCATGAGGATGTCTGTGCTGAGCTGTATTACTTTGTATGTATTCTTTTGAGTGGCTGCTGGGAAAGGAACTTCAGGGGAACTTACTAATTTCTTTTTCTACAGGGAACTCTGATTCCCAGCTCAGAGCAGGGCACATCAGTCAGCTAAGGAATTGTAAAGTCATGCTAACAAGATGGACTTAGTGCTCTCAGAAGAGTTGGCTGGTTTTTTTCCTCTCATATGGTTAGGGAAATAAGTATAGTTTTTCCAAAAATTTTACTTCTGGGATACAGTTGTTTTTCTGTTGTTTTTAAATTTGAGCTGTTGTAGAAGAAAGGGAATTAATGAACTTGTGAAGGCAGCTCTCCCCTCTATGAGTAGACTGCCCCTTACTCCAGAGAGGACTGGTGTGGTTGGGTATCTCTCAGCCACTCGGCAGCGCCCAATTGGTTTGATTTCTAAGTCCTTGAAAGCCATTGACCCTTTTGCTTTTGAGTTCCCATTCACCAGCCAAAAGGCCATGCATCAGGGTGAGGGAAGTGAAATTTAAAATTTAGTGGGCTTGGAAAAATGCATTTCTATAATCAGCTTGAGAGCTCAGAGGATCTGTGAAATCTTCTTGGATTAACAGCCCCTGATTGCTAATCAAACACTCTTTAGCTTTGTGTGGAGAATGCCAATGGAGAACGGTGTGGGCACCTTGTCAACAGGGCCCATTGAGCAGGGATGATGGGTGAAGGGTGAGGGGTCTCCACAGCGGCGTGGGTACTCGTCCTTCAAGGGGCTCTTGTCAGTCGCCAGCGAGGCTGGTGAAAGGAAACATGCCAGAGTCTGATGGCTGGGGTGGTATTGACGTGCCTTCTCTGACTAGTCAGATTGAAAGAGTCCCATGGTATTTATGTCACTTTAATTTTCATCAAACAATTGGTGACGACAGCACTCCATTAAGGAGAGGTTGATCCAGAACTAAAGCCAAATAAATCAGGGTCTCAGTTTAATCATATTATCCCTCTTCTGGCTCTGGATTAAGTCAGAGACAGCGTCAGTCTGGAAGCTTGTGATTGGCTGAATCTTTCCCTGATTTTTAAAGAATCTGATAAAAGGAAAAGCATTTTGACAGAGACAACTAAAATAATCCTTCCAAGCAACTGTGCTAACATAACGACAAAACCCACAAAATTTATTTCTGCAACTATATTGTTGTATGGTGAATAACAAAGCAGTTATTAAAAATTGAAGTTCTGTTGAATTGGTATGAGAGGAAGAAATAGACAAGGGAGAGAAGTTCGGTTGGAACTTTTCTGTGTAGTTTTGAGTTTTTCTTGGCATACTTTCAGCACATTGAAAAATCTCAATTCGGAGAACGGCTCTGATAAGGACGTGCTAAGTATTAAAACTGGTTCGTTTCACACACAGTGACTCTGAAACAGAACGTAGGCCAAGTCAGCTGTGGAGAACGGAGCATCAGTGTGTATGACAGAAGAAAAGTGGGGACGATTCATGGGAAAGAGATGAATTTTTGTTACCTAAGGAGGGCAGAAAAAAAATGACATCACCTTGAAGGTCGCGGGCATAGTTAGAATCGGATTTGTGAGTGATGAGGATGGAGGGTGAGGGAGGCTTTTGGAGGGATCATCATGTTTTGTCTCTCAGTCTGGGAAACAGCCGGGGAGTACAGCCTGTGAAAATTCATCGAGCTCTCTGCTTACAACATATTTTCTTCTATCAGAGATTTCAGTATGAAGTTTTAAAAGTCTGCTGGGATCTGCTATTTAAAAATTGGATTTTGCATTAGTTTCTTAGTGCTGCTCTGACAAATGACCTCAAATGTGGTGACCGAAAACAGCGGAAGTGTATTTTCTTACAGTTCTATAGGCTAGAAGTTTGACATGGATTTTACTGGGAGATCAAGGTGGTGGCAGGCTACATTCCTTCGCAGAGGCTCGAGGAGAAATCGCTTTCTTACATTTTTCATCTATAGGCTGCCTGCTGCCTCTGGTTCATGGTCACTTTCCTCCATGTTCAAGGCCAGCAGTTTGCGGTTGAGCCTGCTTCACTTTGTGTAACTCCAACCTCCGCCACTTGTGTTGTCTGAGCACCTTTGTGAGGACGTGGAGCCCAACAGGATAATGTAAAGATCTCTTCTGTGTTACCGTTTTTGGCTAGATGTCCCCCCAAAGCCTCATGTGGTCACAGGGCTTTTGTAGAGGTGGCTGGATTAGAGTGAGTGATCCTGAGATTAAGCGCATGTGATTACTAAACCAGTGCACTGACTGGTTTGGCACCACCCTAACCCTAGTCGTCTGGATGGGATAAAAGGGGCAGAAAGACGCAGCTAAGGTCCCTTGTTGCATTTGCTATCTTCTGCTGCCATGAACTCTCACTTCTTAGCACTTCACTAGACCATGGCACCTTGTTCCCTTGAAGGTGATATTTCCTAAGGTCCCTTCTAACATTCTGTGAAAGAAAGAAGTCACCGTACCAAAGAAAACGTTCAGAACTAACAGCTAGGACAGAGGACATTTTTAAATTTAAAACATCTTTGGAGCAGGAATCTCATCTTTAGATCTGGCATCTCTTCCTACAGCAAGACCTCATAAGATACACAGGGACAATCAGCTTCGGGAGACTGCAGCTTTTCTTCGCTGTCTCGAGTTGGGGGCCCCAGAATGGACAGTGGTCCCAAGAAGCTGTAGAGAGGCACACACCCTTCCAGTTTTGTTGTTTAGGACATCCTCTCCTCTCCTTTCATTTCCACTTATGTATTTTTGATTTTTTTCCAACTGGGTTTTTCCTTTCTTTGCTTTTTTCACTTTTATTCATTGATTGAAACATTTTTGACTATGTGCTAGGCATGTGCTGATGCTGAGATGTGAATTAAGGAGGACACAGCCACTGTCCTCACTGGACTGAATCTAGATCAGGGATCTCCAAAAAGATATATAATTTAAAATTACATACCTCTCAGCAAAACAGAATAAAAAGTGAGTGCATCCCTTTCTATCCCTAAGGCACGTTGCGAAGCATGTACAGAAATTGGAAATTAACCTGCTCTCATGGTGCCTGGCGAGGGTCCTCAGTCACACTGAAACCCCACCTTGTTAGAGTTGGCGCAGGAAACAGAAAGGAAGCACCAAGAGTTGGAAGCTTGTCTGTCAGGTTACTAAAAGACAAAGACTACAAGCAGTTTCCCAGCCCCATCTCAGTGTTCCCTTTGTGCCTCATGGGTTTGTTCAGTGTCTGGATTTCAGTGTCATTATCCTTGTTTTCTCCAGGTGGCCTGGCCTTGCTGCTAATGCTGGAGGTCTGCCTGGAGGGCCACACCTGGAGCCCCTCCCAGGGTCTTGTCCTGACTCCCCTGTATTGCTTGGACGCATTTTATTAAATCCTCTTTCCTCTCAGGCCTCCCAGCCTGCTGCCCCAACTAATTTGTCATCTTTAAAATTAGCCCGTGGCCTCTGGGAAATAACTCACATCCTTTTCCCCCTCAGGAAGGATTTGTTCGTGTTGACCGAGATTATGTGCTGAAGTCGGCAGAGATGGCAAAAACTGGAGGTTGCAAACATTTCAACTTGCTGTCCGCTCGAGGAGCTGATAAGTCAAGCACATTTTTGTATTTACAAGTTAAGGTTTGTGCACAATTCTATCTGGGCTAATTGGCAGTACTAAATAATACAAACTACTACATAGTATTTAAATAGCATGAAGTGCATTTAATTATGTATTTTTCATAGCTACAGGCTATGTTTTTGCAGGCATATATTCAGGAAGTGGGAAAGATTTACAAGATAATTTGTAATATCTTCCATCCTTTTTGTAGATATGTGGCGGGGAGGATACTGGGGAACTGAATCCAAAGCCCTGTGTGTGCTAGGAAAGTGCTCATCCACTGAGCTACATCCCAGCCAGTTTTTGTTGTTGTTGTTTTTTGGTACCGGGGATTGAACTCTGGTCCTTGCACTTGCGAGGCAGGTGCTAGAACAACTGAGCTAAATCTCCAGCCTGCAGCCATTTTTACTGTTTTGAGACAGTGTGTTGCTAGTTGCCCAGGCCGCCCTCAAACTTGTAATTATTCTAACTCAGCCTCCCAAGTAGCATGCACCCCCACTGTCAACTTCTTGTCTGCTGTGTTACCCAAGAATCAGTACAGAGAGCTGTGACTGCTCTGGCCTTGAATGTCAACATGTAATTCTAGCATTGGAGGAGGCACGGAGGCTGTGATTCCAAGTTCTCTAATGGCTGAGAGGAAGGAGCTTATGCTGGGATTTGGGGACATTTAGCCTGAAGCAGTGTGCTAATTATAAGCTCAACTTTTCATAAAAGTATTTTTTTTAAATTCACACACATTTTGTATTTATTTTATATGTATTGTATTCTCCTCATGTTACATATCCTTGTTTAATTAAAAAGTTGTTTCCATTTCCTAACTTTGAAGTAAAACTGGTGCTACAGAAGGATGGGTCATGGCTTTGGGTCACAAGCAGGGTGTAGAGGTTATATGGCCAAACCCTGTTTCCACTGTGAATTTCTTTTACGGAAGTTCACCTGGTTCTGCTCACATATCTGCAGCAGGAGGGAGTTTGCCATGCTGTTATCCAGCTACTTGTCAAAAAATCCTCCCCTTGGTCCGATCCACTTGTCCAAAGCCCTCACTTTAAGCTGAAATCAGTTGCTTTGTAAATGTCAATTGTTACCATTTCTGCATTTTTAAAAGCAAAGAGATGTCCAGTTCTACTTTCGCATGTATAGTTGTTAAGATATTTGATTATAGTTTCTTAAACTGTATTTTTTCCAGAACTATAAGTGCTTGTACTCTGCTTTACTGTTTCTTCTTTTCACCTCTTCTTCACCCTGAAGTTGTACTGGACTTGCATTGGGCTGCATTTCACAATGCTATTTTTCTGAAAAGAGATATACGATTGGTACCATTTTGGTAAATATCTTTATGGTTGTGTTTGCTCATGACCAGCTTGTAATGTACATTTTCAGATCATTTTCCATATGGCTTATAGCTGAATTGCATTTCAAGGCCCATGAAGATCAGTGAGCCACCAGTGAAATCAAGAATGATAACGTTTTAACTTATTAGAGGTTTTTTTTTTGTTGTTGTTGTTGTTGTTTTTTGCTACTGGGGATTGAACTCTGGACCTTGTGCTTGCAAAGCAGGCAACAGAACTACTGAGCTAAATCACTGGCCCTTTTAGAGTTTCTTTAGCACCCTTAAAAGAAAAAAAAAAGTTGTTTCAAAATACACATATGGCTTTTGAAAAACATTATCAAATAGAACATTTTGCTCTCAGTGACAAGGTAGATACTTATACCTCTTAGGAATGAAAATATCATGTATATTTCCTCAGCTTTAATGATAAAGGAACTCCTCCTACCTACTCATGGGGTTATAACAGCTCAATGAGGCAAAAATAGCTAACACTAATTGTGCTGAGCAGTGTTCTAAGGGCTTTGATGTGCATTTGTGTGGAAGCTGAGTATTATGATCACTGGCTGGTAAGTGGCGGGGTTGGGATTTGAACCCAGACAACCTGATTCCAAGGATAGTGCTGCTGAACATTGTGCAATGAGTAGCTTTTGTCTCATACCTGGGAAAGACTCAGCAAAGTGCATGAGCCTCAGCAAATAGTTGTAGCAGCAAGTTGGAAAAAGAATTCTTCCTCCACAGAAGTTGACCGATATTACGTACATTGTGGCGTTATGAGTGTGATTAGTTTAAAAGGACAGAAACGATGACCCAGCTGTCCATCCAGAGTGATCCTGAACAATATAGCTGCGTGGAGAATTTGGAAAGGTGCTCTGTCCCGAACAACCTCTCAGCTTCATGTCCTCCTCCTTCTTGTGTGTGAGCTGCCCCTCCCGCCTCATTGGAGAAACCCCTTTATTCTTGAGGAGACTCTACTGCACTCGGGAAGCATTCCACTGCATACATTACGGAGGCCTGGATGGGTCAGACCTTCGTGGGCACTTGTTGGTGCTGCAGGGAGAAGGTTGGGTGCGGAGCCCACAGCACATTTCCCCACCGCGGGTGACCCTTGACCTTAAGGAATTTATAATTTGCTTGTTTTGGGGACTCCCCAAGGATACCCTCAAGTTTGCTTACTCGCCAGAAGGTCTCACAGGTTGCAGCAGGTAGTTGTACCCAACAGTGATGAGAAATGGCAGTGGAAGGAAAGCAGCAAAGGGAAAAGGTGCATGGATCAGGGCCAGAGGGAAGGAGGGAAGGTTTCCAAGAGGCCTCTCCCTGCTGGGGCTGTACAGGCTGGGCTGGATTCCCCCCAGCATGAGTACTATGTGCAGAAGGTCACTCAAGCCCAGCAGTCCAGGGTTTTTATGGGAGTCCCTCACACAGGCTATTCACAGTTGGAGATCATGAGAAGAAAAGGAGGTGTTCGTATTAGACCACAATGTTTTAATAAATAGTTCAGGAACAGTGGATGGCCCTAATCATGTAGGGAATGGCAGGAACACTCCTGAAATCCAGGTTCCCAGGTATAAGTCCAGGGCCACCCTTGCAAGGATAAGGCCACCCTTGGTTGGCCTTACTCAGGATAGCAGCCTCAGGCCTGCTGTTAACTTTTTCATGCATATGCTAATAAAAAACCATCTTTGTGTCAAAAGGCTAGTTAAGAAACAAATGTGTACCTAAGCACGTGTATATGAATGTTTATAGCTGAATTATTCATCTAGCCAGCATGAAACAAACCAGATGTCCTCAACTGATGAATGGATGGACAAATGGTAGCACGCCAATACAACAGAATATCACTCAACTACAAAAGAGTAGGCAAAATTACAGAGCAGAAAGTAGATTACCAGTAGTCTAGTGTGTGGGGAGAGGAGATGGGGTGTGACCACTGATGGTATGGGATTTCTAGCTTTCAAACTTAGATTTTAAGACTCAGATTGTGGTATAAAGTTTTCACAACCATCTCTATGCTAAAAAACTACCAGTTAATACATGAAAAAGATGTTTTAAATAGCCAAGATTGTATGATGTGTCAGGTTAAGTGTGAACTGACTGGAACAGCCAGGTGCCAAAGGAGGAGGCCCTTGTTGTTAATTCACAGGGCCATCAGAGGTCCCCTCAACCAGCATAAGTACTTCTGGCATTTCTGTTAACAAAGTTGCCTGGCATGAAAATTAGTGGTTTGCTGAACAAATTCACAGTGTCATCTATATGTAATCTGTCTTTTGAAATTCAGGGCAGGGAGTTGTTAAGAAGTGAGTCCTCTGTAGGTTTTTCTGGCCACCGCAACTACCTGGATACTCTCCCCACCCCCCAAAAAAACTTAGTATCTGTTGACTTGCAGCAGTGATTCTGGACTAAATTGAAAATGCTCTAGTGGTTAAGACGGCATAACATTTACCCTCTCTGGAAATATTTTCATGTCAGTAAAATGAGAAATGGTCAGGCTGTGCTTAATTCAGCAGGCAACTTTTAACTCTTTTACACATCAGGATTAACTGTTCTCAACTCCCTGTACGCTTTGGAATCTAAAGTTCTAGGTAAGAATGTTTGAGTCTTGAGACCTGCAGCAGCATATTATCTTCAAAACTCTCAATTTTCCTCGCTTCAGCTTTACTTAACTGAGTTGGTTGGTCTTCACTACTGAAAGTGTCTTCTTTCTTAACAGGGAGAAGTAGAAGCCAGGGTTGAAGAATTAAAATTTGATCGTTACTCAGTGTTTAGGCCTGGGTAAGTACACGTGCTACCTGAGCATACAGCACAGTTAGTTCAGCCAGTTTCTCATCTGGAGAGGAGGGTGCCTAAGACGTCCAGGACAGGAAAGAGGGCAGCTAGAAGGGAGCCTTGCTCTTCCTGGCTGGCAGCCCATGGCTGTCTTGTTGTATTCCCATGGCTTCTTCCCGTGTGTATGTGCAGGCAGGTCTTTCTTTCCTCTTTTAGGACAACAGACCTACTGGATCAGTCTAGTCCCATCCTTAAGACTTCCTTTAACCTAAAGGTCATCTCCAAATACAGTCACATTGTGTGTTAGGATTTCAGCACGCAGATCTTGAGGGGACACAGTTCAGTCTAATACCCACGTGGTCTGATGCAGGTTACTGAATCTTCCTCTGCTTTGCCTTTTCTTCTTAGAGTTCTGTTGTGTGACAGGCAAGAATCTCGCCCAGGTGAATGGCTGGCTAGGAAATTCTTTGGCTCCTTACCACACTCTTGGGCCAGTGGCCTCTCTGCGCCTGTGATGACTGTGGTAAGAGCAATGCTGAACAACATGGTGAGACCAGGCAGCAAGCAGATGGAAGTCCTGGAAAGCAAGGCCATCCATGACCTGGGGAAAGAGGATGGCTGTCTCAAGCCGTGACCATGCCGTGGAAATGCTTTTACCCACAAATTTCAACACTCATCACTAAATCTACTTTCAGGGTCTAAGAAAACGTGTACTTTACCTTTGTTTTTTCATTGTTCTCATCCCTGAAGACTGAAGTAACAGCTGTGCTCTGTGTCATGGTGTTAACACCGGTCACCTGGGGAGCTTTGTTGGCCTTATTTCAAACCTTCTGGGTCTGGATTTGGGGGTTGTGGACATGGGAATCTGTAATTCTCTTTTGTTTAAAATTTCTTTTAATGGGAGCTGGGAGCCAGCTTGGAAATGGCAGTCTGCAGAGTCACAAGTGCTGTGTAAACATTATGTGGCACGTGGATGAGAGCGCCGCTCGAAAGCTGCTGGTATCACAGCCTCTGAGTTACACAAATGCTTGTGAACGGTGTGAACCTGGTGCCTTTCTGCTTCTGTAGAATGTACTATGAAAATATATGGCCAAGCTTACATAATTCACCGGATGAAATAAAGAGGAATAAAAACAAATGGATAAAGCCTGGATATGGTGTAGATTATTAAAAAATGCCCAAGTAGGAGCACAGCATTTTGACCATGGCATAATATAATAGCAGCTGGTATTACCAAGAGCTTGCTATGTTCCCATCTCTACATTGTCTATACTTTCATCCTACGAATGGTCCTTATAAAGTGCTACAGTCCCCATATCTTTTATCCTTTAAAAAATATTGTAATCCTTTTATCATAGGAAAACAGGCTCACTGTGCTTAGGTACCTTCACCAAGAGCCAGGTGCTGAAGATGTGACGCTAAAAGTGGCAGAGTCCGGATTCTAACCCAGCTTAGCCTGATCACATACAGAAGTTCATATTTTTATGCACTCTGCAAGAGCACCTGTATCTTTCTATTTCTAGATAATTGTTAATATTCGTTGTGGATGAATAAAATGCAAATATTTGGGATTTCCCTTTGGTCTAGGACCTTACAAAATATTAATACCGCCAGTAAGATTCTAGAGGCTCCAGGTACTGCCGTTTTAAAACTGTGGCAAGAGAAAGAAGATGCACAAGGAAGGGCCAAAGCCCAGAGGAGCATTTTGTCCCTCAGGAACATTTAACGACGACTCCTTTATGTTCCATTCTGGTCTCAATAGTGAAGGGCTGTCAGGGAAAGGTCTGCGGTCAGAGAGAAAAGCAGGCTTGCATTTGGGTGAGACCTGAACTTCAACGGACAAGACTCTGGCCCAGTCACCCCTCCAGCCTAGGTGTCAACTTCTTTTCCTGTCAGCACTAAATGATGGGTTACTAAGAGCTTTGATGGGCTTTCCAAGCTTTACAGAGAGAAATGGGCCTTGCTGAATAGAGGGCAGGTATGTTGGAAGTATGAAAAGAGTTGGCTGGGCCCATGTAACTATAAGTGTTTAATTCCTTCAGCAAATGCTTTCTGAGATCTGCCTCTGTGGCCCTGGGAAACACGAGTGAACAGTCTAACCCAAGGGTGCCACAGACATTTTGACAGGGGCCTGGAAGTGAGAACTACTAACTGCCTGATGCGTCTGTGCTGTAGCACTTCACAGGCAAGGAAGAGTACATTCAGAAAAGTTCAGCGATACTGTAAAGTCATTTTCATTCAGTACATTTATCTCATAGGCCAAGCTAGGAATAATGTGCCAGAGAAAGTGGAGACACAGTCCTCGTCCTGTGGTACAAACAGTGCTGTACCAAGAAAACTAATGGGAAGGAAGCAAGCAAGCAAGCAAATGGTAGGTGGCAAGAAACACACACCTGGAGCATCAAGGGAACCTGTTTTGGATCTGAGGAAGGAGGACCTGCCCATGTGTGCAGAATTCAGTGATTGACAATAAACAAAAGGCTGAGATTGGAGCCAGGGTGAAGGGTTGAGTTGGGCTGGAAGTTTAGGATCATGCAGGGCCTAGTAGGCCATGGTCTTCAACCTAACCTAACTGTGCCAAGCACAGTGACAGCCCCTGTGACTGGAGACCGAAACGTCACCTACTGAAGTCACTTGCCCCATTCTACAGACATTAGGAATGGAAGGAAGCGGCATGGGGCCATGCGTGTTCTTACACAGCACAGCAGCCAGGTGTTTCTTCTAAACATACCTGATAGCCTTACTCCCTTGTAAAAAGCAGTTCACCTGTTTTCCGTTGTTCAGGGTAAAGTCAGCATTTATTTCTAATGCATTAACTTTTTTTTTCTTATGGTACTGGGGACTGAAGCGAGGACTAAGCTAGTCTCCAGTTCTCTTACTTTTTGACACAGGTTCGCTAAATTGCCCAGGCTAGACTGACTTGTGATCCTCCTGCCTGGCCTCCCAGCATGCTGGGATTACTGGCCTGCACCGCCGCGCCGGGTTTGTAAACTCTTGTTTATCCTTACTAGCCCGCGGTGAGTGCAGTCACAATCCTCGTTTCTGTCGATGAGAAAACTTAGGCAAGGGAAAGGGCGGACAACCTACTCAAGATCATAGAAAGCTACTCAAGTAGGGTGCTAACACCGCACGCCAGGGAACCCCGTGGGCCCGCGGGCCCTACCCGGTCTCTAGCGCACGCGCAGTGGACGTGCAGCAGCCCCGCCCCCACCTGCCCAGCGGGTCCCTAT